TCCTTAAAGCCCGAAACCCCCAAACCCAAAAGCCCTGCACCCTAAAACCCTGAAACACGAAAGCCCTGCACCCTGAATCCTCATCGATGCTTAGACGACCTGGATGTCAGACCATCAAAATTCGATGCCTCCATCCCGCTCAATCGTCTGGGGTCTTGAGGACTTGGGTTCCCGGATTCGTGGGTTTGATGCTCAGGGGTGAAAATTGTGGCTTGGGTTTCGAGTTCGAAGGTCTCGGCTTTTCCCAGAGAGGCTCCTTCGCGCACTGCGAAGTCATGCATTTCGCGCACGCGGCGCCGACCTCCATGTCCGTGATGTTGAAATGCTGGCCTGGGCTAAGGGGCGTTCTAAACCTAAATGGCAAAACTCTCAAACCCGAACCCTAAATCCTCAACCCGAAACCCCAATCCTAGATCCGGAACCCTAAATCCAAAACCCAAACCGTACGATCTGCGGTTCCTCTGGCGGGGACCACCGACAACCCCAAAGTTTCGAACTCGAAGGAGGCTTGAGTCATCAGAACTCAGAAGAAGCTTTTGGGACCTAGCAGAGAAAAGGCTCCGAAAAGGGTCTCGCGACTGGCGTTGGTAAAACACTCCTTTATCATACTCTAAAATGAGGGGGGGGGCTGCTGATTCTTTCCCAGAGCGGCAAGTCTCTTGGCAGTCGGCCTTGCAGAGGCAGAGCAGGTCGCTCTTCGCGCAGGCCGCCTCCAACCCCGCCCTAAGCCCCGCTCCCAGGGGTGACAGGGTTGTGTAGGGCTTATGGGATGTTTTATAAGGCTGTATGGGGTTTGAAGGAAAAATAGCTAGAAGAGGGTTTTGGGATATATACTTTCATACTATACTTCTATTGGGGAATCACAAGAAACACTATGAGCAATCTTGTAGACCCTCTGGTGAAGCCTGAACCCTAAACCCTTCGACCACGAGACAGCGAGGGCGTCTATAGTTTTCAGTGCTTCGGGGTTTAGGATTTCGGGTCCGAGAGCTTTCAGGTCCTAAGGCTTTGGGGATGTGGGGCTGCAGGGATTGGGGCTTTCGGATTTAAGCATATGCGGGTTTAGGGTTGAGGGTTTACGCCACATACCAAAAGCTGCTAAATCCCATATCGAAGCTCGGAGCCGTAAAATCATGAAACGCCACACTTCTTGGTCGCTTGGGGGGAGCAGTTACAATGGAATGGTTTGGGCATGGGTTTTTGTTTGACAGCTCTGGTCCTCCTGCCGATTGTCTGGGAGTTAGAATGCCAATGATGTCTGGCGCGGGTGTAAGGCAACGGACACAATTTGATGAGCATGGGCTTGCGATTCAGGCTTTGACCTGGCTCTTTGTGCACAGTGAGCTGTGCCTTGGTATCAGGTTCGTTTCTGGCCCTGCGGAAGAAAGGCAGCAACTGCTGTGAAAGGACCTACCCACCAAGACCGAAACGCTCATGTGGTGATTCACCCGTCTTTCAAACACGGGTTCCAGCGGGCTGGGGCGGCCGGGAGTATGGCGTCTGGTGATTGAGTATGGGCAACTGCAAGATGCGGCACTTAACTTCGCGAGAGAATGGAGGTGACCATGCAGGGACTCTGTCAGCCCTCCCCATCTCTAACCCCCAAAGCTTGAACTGCAAACCCTACCACCTAAACCCTGTAGGCGCACATCCCTAGACCCGCGAAAACTCCGACCAACCATACGAGAGTCTTAAGGCTCAAGCTCAGGGTTTCAGGAATGGGTCTACAGCCCCTCAACTCCCGAAAGTGCCGAGAAAACCCTAGGCCCAAAGACCACAAGACCGTGAAAGAGGCCTATCAACCAAGTACAACATTTTCTGACTTTCGGCAGGCGGAAGGGTTGAGGTTGGGTTTGACGAAATGCTACATGCAGATACAGTAGCTTTGTGGCAATGATGTTCAAAACTGCTGCTCCTAAACCCCCAGACCCTAAACCCCGAAAACCTGAACCTCTAAACCCCTAAACCCGAAACCCTAAACCCTCAACTCCACACCAAAGCAGGCCTTGCTCCCGTGATCCGAATGGTCGCAGCCCTGCGGATCTCTCCGAGGCTTGTGGGGCTTAGGGCGTTTGGGTGTTTGGGGGTTTTAGGGGTTTTAGGGATTTGAAGGTTTTGGGGTTTTGGGCTTTAGGGTTTGGGGGTCGAGGGCTTGGAGGTTTAGGGTTTAGGTCTGAGACCCGGCGGCCTTACGAATTGGAGTTGGGCTCTCGACGATTCTGCAAAGGATATACATGGGTTGAGGCTTCTTTGCCATGTGGGATGTTCGTAACTAAACTAGGGCGTGGGAGCGAGCATATTGTGGCAAAATACCCGAATATGGGGGCAGACATCGATCAGGAATGAGATAGCGATAAGCTATACCCGAAACCCGGTCTCCTGGATAAACCCAAACCACAAACAATGCCCTAAACTCTAAATGGTCTAGTAGCTAGGAAGTCGTGTTTGGATTCAGAGCGTAAGGCTCCGGAGTTTGCGTTTTTTTAAGTCCGCCATGCGCCACCCACACTTCTTCTAAGAAACTGAAACGATTCAGCGTTGCGCGTCGGCGCAGCCAGCAGCTGCGAGCGAGAGCTTTCGAGTTTCTGTATGAGGTGTTTTACACCGAGAAAATCCTGACTCCGAGCGGAGTGGTCATAACTTTCAGCCAGTTTTATCGCCTGTTTGGAAACTATGTCGAACCAATACTGTCGTGGGTGGCCTCTATTTGGACTTCCGTCCTTGTAGCCTGGGCTGAAACTGACATGGTGTAAAGGATCTTGCGGAGTAGCCACCGTGCTTTGAATTAATCGGGATTGCTGATTGGAGAGGAGGGCTGGTGAGGGTAAAGTTGGGCGCCCGGCATCCAGATTCGTTGTTTGGGGTATTCTAGAATAGTACGACGCTTTGATAAGGAGTTAGAGTTTAGGGTTTAGGGCTTCTTGTGTCTTGAATCTGGGCATCGCGCGCCTCGGATACTCTCGGAGACTTTTTGTGCTAACGTTTCTGGGCATCTCACGGCCTGATGCTCTGGTCCTGCAACATCCGTGCCCCCCACCACGGTTTAGGGTTTAGGGTGTAGGGTTACAACCCTGCTACCCCAGCTTGAAGAATCGTAAATTTCAACGACGGGAACCCTAAACTTCAATGCGGAGTCCGAGAGCCATGCAGACAGTAGCGCCTGCAGAAGAAGAACAGCCAGAGCCGGCAAAGCAGCACACGGCCAGCGGCAGGACATGACCTCAGAGAAGTGATTCGTTTAGCACAACCCTATCCAGACATACAAAATTCCTATCTTTCCAAGAAACCGCGACACCTAAATCTTCAAAGTCGGGCTAATGTAGGTCACCCGGCACCTTATGTGAATTCTACAGGCAGAAGAGGAACCTGAATAATGCGCAAACTGCATTATTATTGTAGACGAAGCATACAGAAAATCTAAAGTCTCATAACGCCAACATGAAGTCATCCAGCTAGTGCTCAGAAACGTCGAAGCTGACTTCGTTCGGGCTGTTTTGCCAGACTAGCGTTTAGGGTTTTGGATTGCGGGGCTTGGGCTTTACGCTTGGAGTTTGTTTTGATGGCCGAAGGCTGTGGACCTTGAGACTAGCAGGAGAGATTCAGGGTGTAGGGTTGCGAGTTTGGGCTAATCGGGAAATCAGACGATCAGGTACACAGCAAACGCTCATAAACATCAAAGCGGACTGCATCTCGAGTCTCGAGCCTGGACGGAAGTTTGAAGCTGATTTCACACACGTCCTCCATATACTTCCGTTACAAGCCCGCGTGCAGCTCGTACTCTTCGGGGCTAAAACAAGGAATGACGTCCGATGACTCTTCAACAAGATGCAAAGGCTCCGTAGTGGAACTCGCAGATGCAGGTGCACGGCGACAACCAGGCGCAAGTTTGAGCTGCGAAGACCCTGCCCCCCAAAAAAATGCCGGACCCTGAAGCTGACTTGGCGTTGGTTCAAACATGCCAACTTGTCAGCACAGACTTCAAAGCCTAAACCTTGGGTTGCGCGTTCGGATGTTCAAATTATGTTCCCTTCCCCTTCCATGTCACTTCGTGCTGCAACAGCTGCGGACGAATTCACATTGCCAGAGACAGAACCTTCATGGCAACCTTTCAGGCTGGATTTCGTGGCACTGCCTGCTAGCTACCATTACCTAGAATGAAAGGTCCTTGAGAGTTCACACATGTTGTTCGCGATTCTGCATGTCCAAGTTTGATGGCAAATCATGCAATCTGCCTCCGGAGCGCCCAGTTATCGACCTCCTTCGTCGTAAGAACAAGCAACACTGAAGCTGGTGATGATGACGATGATGATACAACATTTTAACTATAGATGGGAAAACGACGGTATCCAGATCCACACGAACAAGATAACACTCCCAACAGCACGTCCCAGCAGAAATAGGCTTCAGGCACTAACAGCGAAGACACCACTGCCAGTAATGCCTAAGCCATAGACGCCAGAACCCCTCATGGCTGGAAACTGCACATGACATCCCACGTCAGCATTTACGAATAGACTAGAACCCGCAAAAGAACTTACTCTGCTGCGGCTTTGGATTTAGCACAGCCAATATAAGTTTGCATGCCGGTGTGGAGTCGCGAACAAGCCCTCCTGAACCCTGCACTCCCAAAACATTTCTGACTGCATTTGCCTGGAATCAGGTTCAAGCCTGTGGCCGGCAAGTGCCTCTAAATGGACAGCTGCAGCCTTTACAGCCTGGAGAGCGGTTTGCATAATGAGCCAGCTGTTCGCTGGGACGCTCGACGAAGATAATCAGAGGGGGAATATTGATAACAACATGGCAGCTTTGCAAGCAACAAGAACCCTCACACAACTTAGAACCGGTCACAAATGAAACAACAGCGATGATACGAAAGCTTTGCAACTAACAACATTAGAAGCCAAACGACATGACCCCGGACAGGCCCCCCCCTCTTCCAAGGTTGATGACCATGAACTGGTCGAGGACCTAGGCCTCAAAGCTCCCGTCAGGGAAGGATGTCATTCGGACTTTGGACATCCGTCGAAGAAGCAGCGCCACTTCTGGTTGCTGTCTCCGTGACATTGGTGCATGAAAACCGTCGATGCCTTAACATGATAGTCCAAGCAGTTGTTGGCAGACACCGTCTTGAGCGCCTCACCATCAAAATACCACTGCTGGCTCGGCGAGCCATTGCAATCACTCATGAAAATGTTGCCCAACCACTTTCCATGTTCGTCACTGACGTATTCGTCGGAGTAATCGAGGCACTTGTTGCTGTACTTGGTCTTCAGGGCGTTGCCCTCGAAGTACCACAACTGATTCGTTTTGTCGTGGCAGCCGTGCATATACACACGGTCGTTGGACGGGTTATAGTCGAGGCACTTGGAGTCCCGCCTTGATGTGATGATGACGATGATGCTATGGCCACAATGACCATGACGATAGGCATGATGGATGCAACATGAACCGCGATCGCTCCGAGTTAAGCGGCGACAATGACGACAGCATGAAAAACAACCGCTTTGCAAGATGCCCCTAAACCCCAGCCTTGTCGCCAGATTGCCGCTGGAAACCTGGACATCCCACTGCCACTGCTGGCTCCTCTTGCCCTGCTGGCACTCGGCCATGGCAGCATTGTGGTTTCCATCATAGTCGTAGTCCAGGCAGAGCGTATCATCGTACCTTGGACTACGGCAAGTCCACGCGTGGACACACAGCTATACTACCAGTAGCAGACAGTGAGTCCAAGCTGCTGGCACAATAACACTAACAATAACAAACGAACAAACAAACAAGCAAACAAAGCAACCGTTATCATCGTCGTCATCATCATCATTCTCGTCACTGGCAGCAGCAACACCGTGACAATCATCATCAGCATCATCACCGCCTGCACGTTAGACCGTCAGCACCGTTACAATCACAGCACGGATGTAGGCTGCCGTGCCTGCAAACTTTCATGCTTGCAGCAACAGTGACACCACCCAGAGCAAGAGAAGGTGTCTCAGCAGCAGCAGCAGCAGGAGCAGCAGGAGTAGTAGTAGTAATAGTAGTCGTAGTAGTAGTAGTAGTAGTGGTAGTAGTAGTAGTAGTAGTAGTAGTAGTACTAGTAGTACTAGTAGTACTAGTAGTGATAGTAGTAGTAGTAGTAGTAGTAGTAGTAGTAGTAGTAATAGTAGTAGTAGCAGGAGTAGTAGTAGTAGTAGTAGTAGTAGTAGTAGTAGTAGTAGTAGTAGTAATAGTAGTAGGAGTAGTAATAGTAGTAGGAGTAGGAGTAGTTGTAGTTGCAGTTGTGGTTGTGGTTGTGGTTGTGGTTGTGGTTGTGGTTGTGGTTGTGGTTGTGGTTGTGGTTGTGGTTGTGGTTGTGGTTGTGGTTGTGGTTGTGGTTGTGGTTGTGGTTGTGGTTGTGGTTGTGGTTGTGGTTGTGGTGGTGGTTGTGGTTGTGGTGGTGGTTGTGGTTGTGGTTGTGGTTGTGGTTGTGGTTGTGGTTGTGGTTGTGGTTGTGGTTGTGGTTGTGGTTGTGGTTGTTGTTGTTGTTGATGTTGATGTTGATGTTGTTGTTGTTGTTGTTGTTGTGTTGTTGTTGTTGTTGCTGTTGATGTGGTTGTTGTTGTACCAGTAGTGGTGACACACCTGCGGAGCAGCGAAAAAAACTATCAAGATCATGCTGACTCTCATCACGCTACGGGTGGAACAGGAACGAGAGCGCGAAGATCAAATGACGCAACGACGGTGCCACAAAAGTTTTGAAACTGTAGCGACATTGTTGACGATGCTGACGGCAACAGCCGCAAGTACAGTTTCTGTTGCATGCCCCTGTTTGCACACGCATATAACTTATGCGTACATGCGTCTCGTACACACCAATATGTCTACATCGAGAAGAGTTCGTCTACATCTAGATCTACATTTACATGTACATCTATGTCCGAGTCCATCTCCATTCTCTCTCCATCTCTATATCTATATTTATTCCTAGTTCTCTATCCGTCTCTTTATGAACTGTATGTGCACATACGCACATGGGTCCAGCCATAGCAAGGTCCAAACGGACAGGAAAGGCAGACGGGCAGAAAGGCTGACAAAGCGACAGATCACACGTAAGATCAGGGGAACATCACAACAAAACAACTCGCCAATGATCCAATGATAGTAGTGTTACTCTGTGCAACACGACTGGTCCGACTTCATAAGTTGTTCAGTGGTTCCCTTCTGGTGAGCTAACAGCCCCTTCGGCCAGAATAGGGTCCTTTGAGACTTCAGAGGCCTTTTTTCAAAGAGCCACCGGTATCATGGGATCCAAGCTGCAGTGTCTTCAGGGCTTGCTCGTCGAAGTGCCACAGCTGGTTGTCCTAGCCACGGCAGGGCCGTAAACAGAACAAAAGAGGAGTTTGGGGTGTAGGTCCCCACGAAATCCAATGCCGCAACCACCCAGAAACCCCTTCGGGTCCCAGCTTCGATTAAATTGATCACTACCCGTAGAACTAGCTCTAAACGCTACACCGAACCACCAAAACCCCCACGTGCAGTTTGCCCTGCCTCCCCATGGCAAGGCAGCATGTAGACGTTCCCGGTGGCAAAGTTGAAGTCGAGACAAGTGTGGTCATACTTGGACTTCAGTAACTGGCCATCGAAGTACCAGTCCTGGAACTCAAGGTCTTCTGAGGCTGAGGCCAAAAACGACGAAACACCAACAACGCCCTGAAACCTCAGGTTTGACGGCTTGTCGTTTGAGGACGCATTCATTGCTAGTAATGAGAGAAGCTAAGGCTTTGAGAGTTCTACGACTCGGTATCAGCACTTCTGGGAGTTTCCGCACTCTCGCGCTGCCGATCCGGAGCCTGGAGGGTACGAGCCCGAAACCAGAAACCAGAAGCCCTGTTATGCTTTAAATACCAATCCTGCTAATCAGCAGTTGGTGTTGCAGGTTACTTGAAAAATGACGGCATCGGCGGGGGCTCCGATATTGAAACCTGCACACTTCGATGCGCAACGGCATAGCGAAACATTACAAGATCGCATAGGCACCCCCCAAACGGCGAGAAAAAAACAATCCTCCAAGCAACCTATGAAAACTGCACGCAACCCTAAACTAAATCTTAGCCCGAAACCCTGAGCCAACTCATCCCGTCCTGATAGGTTGCATCTTTGATATCATGGCAGTCCCACATCTGCACGTTGCGCTCGCCGCCTTGGAACTTTCGGCGGTACATGTCCGATGACGGAGCAAGAGGCCATTTAGGGACTTGATTGCTCCAGGGCTTTGACACCAGCTTCAAGCAGACAGCGGTGTAACTCCTACCCCCCAAACCCTAAAGCCGACACTTCTGAAGCCCGATCCCCTCACAACCCTAGGTTTACTCAAACTGACACCCTTACCCTTAGCCCGGGGCCCTCGTTGGTGTTGAAATCCAGGCACTTCTTGCTGTCCTGCAAGGTTCTCCTGGGCTGCTCTAATGAACCAGCCTCTGTGATGGTTGTCTCTACTCTTTGTGAAGGTTTAGGGATGTAGGGAACATACGTATCCAAAGACATCTCTACACGAATTCTCACGGGCAGCCTAGTTTCATTGGGCCACTGGACACCCTGGGTTGCCATGTCCATTGCTGATTCTTCCCCTCGGTGCCGCGCCAGCGGACAGGGAAGCCACAAGTTCCGTGGAGAACAAAGGAAACAGCCTTACGGTTTGTCCAAGACTCTCCGTGGCACTGCTCGAGCACGTAAGCGTCGTGGCTTTCGAAGTTGTAGTCTACACAATTGTCGGCATAGAGGGTTCTGAGGGTCTTGCCGTCGAAGCGCCAGTTCTGGTGGTCTCCCCCGTGGCAGTCGTACATGTACACCGAGCCCCCGTCACCGACGTGGTTGTAGTCGAGGCACTTGTCGTCATACTTTGACTTCAGGGTCATCCCATCGAAGTACCACTCCTGGTTCGCCCTGCCGTGGCAGCTCGTGAGGAAAACATTACCGGTGCCAGTGTGGTAGTCCAGACACCGGCCGTCGTACTCAGACCTGATGGGGTCTCTTTTGTTATCTTGGTATTGGGGGGGTCCTGTCCATGAATGATCCTACTGTTTTGGGTCTAAGTCTCTAAGTCTGTGGAACTCCAACCTGAGTGGGCCGCTCACAACCTGCTCATCGGCGCAGTCGTAGCACTCCTCATCCTGGAGTTCCCCACCGGGCATGTCCGGAAATGTCAAGCTTGCGCAGTTCTCCTCGCGGTTCACAGGGCCCTGAAACCGACCGCAAACAACCCTTCAGGTTTTGTTGGTTTATGTCTGCAGCTATCCTCTTTGAGCTCGTCCCAAAGATCCCACGCTCCGATGGGATCCAGGAGCTGCACCTGATTAGACGTTTTCGGGCTGAGGGCTTTGGGTGAGAGTTCATGGTTGAGGGGCTTTAGATTTTGGGGTTTAGATCACTCATGTTTCCTACTCTCCTGAAAGTTGCAGCGGGACTCTGTCGCAGACCATGAACCACTACGCAGGTCTTTTGCGAATACGGAGATAAAACCCAAAAACTTGACATGGCACATGGTGTCGGGGGCGGTTCTAACGACCACAACCTTGCAGACTGTTCCGTGGCCAGGTCACAGCATCCTTGATCCACTCGAAGGCTTCATTCCGCTTCGCCTCTACCTTCGCAGCCACCGACGTTGCCCCGCCCATCAAAAGTGCGTCCATGGTCGTCTCCATGACAATTTCCTGCATCACGATCTTAAATGCTTCGAGTCGTAGGCTTTGTGCATTTAGGACTGGGGTTTGGGATTGCAAGGCTGACCCTATGTGTGCGTCGTGCAACAGCTCCGTCCTGCGCCTTCTCCTTGAAAGCATCCTTCATGAATGGAATGGCCTGAGAAACTTCAGGTTAATACAGGCGTCTGAACACTTTGCAGATACTTGTACCAGACGGTACCCGCACACCCTGTTCTAGTTCTTTACGCCCCGTTCTCCAAATCTCTACAGCCCCAAATTGCCAAAACACTCTTCTGCACACACAAGAAGTAAAACCTTGTTCTAATTGTGGCCCATGGCCAGAGTTTTGACTTGGCCCACGATGGACCTGGCCGCCTTTTTCACTGCCGTCCGGAAGGCCAGCATGGCAGCTTTACGTCCGACCTTTGGCTAGAGTTCTCTACCGCAAGCCGCAAGTGATTTGGAAGGGCTTATTCAAAACAATGGGAATTGAGGTCTGGTGGATTGAAGGTATGGTTGCTTGGGGGCCTCAGGGCTTGGGGTTGTAAAGGCTGCCGGTTCTGTTGAAGCCTCGATCAAAGGCTGCCCACCTTGAAGGCGAATCTTCCGGCCTTAAAGGCTGGGCCGAAAGCTGGGATAACGCCGGCAATGGCGATCAGATTCATGCCGTGCTTCGCTCGACAGCCCCACACATCCTGCAAGGCGTCTTCTCAGCTTATCGGAGGGCTTGATGTGTGGCAGCGGTTCCGGCTTCCGGACATCGTTGGCTTCAGGGCTGCAATGCTCATCATCTATGTTTCATGCCAAGGCCTTACATATGCATCATATCTTACATGTTTACTTTTCGCTTAGCCTTAAGCGGGCGGGCGTCCTTGGCGCAGTAGCGTCCGGCGAAGCCGCAGGAGTAGTTGTAGACTCTGGCGCTCGGAAGCTCTAGACAATCCTCCCCCCAAGGATTCCCAAAGCTGAACCTCTTCTGGCATACGTCGAAGGACATGTGGGTGATGAATTGCTCCACCCATGTCTTCTGGAGCACGTTCACCGCACTTCTTGCCAGGTATCCTGCAGCCAGTTTCTGCTTCGTTCTGTCCGTCGGCTTCAGCTTCTTGCCCGTGGAGGGACCTGAGGGACCTCCAGTTCGGCCTTGATTTGTCCCTCCTTTGCGCTTACCGAAAGGCAAGCTCTTCAACCAGAACAGGCAGCCCGTGGGACTGCTCTCGTCCTTCTTGGGGTCTTTCTTGGGGTCTTTCTTCACCGAGAAAGTCTTAGACTCAGGCTTCTCCTTCTCCAGCTCCTCATCTTGGTCTGGTGCTGGCGAGGGGGCCTCGTAATGTTCTTGAGCACGACTCCAAAAGGCGCCAGCTGCAAGCGAAGCCCCGGCGCCAGCGGTCACGAAGAGCGCTTTCCTGTTTCCTTCATAAGTCTTCCCCTCTTTAGACTTGCGGTCCTTGAGAAACACATCGAGCCAATGCGCACCGGGCTTACCCATGGGGTCCTTGGGCTTGTTCCTTGTTGTCACAGAGTCAGATCCACAGTTTGCGGCTCTTGGCCCGAACGGAAGCTGCCTAGGAGGAATGTATCTGAGACGTGCATCGTAGCTCTGCTGGTACCAAAAGTCAAGTCGCACTTTCGCTCTCTTGCCTGATTTGGCGAATGCGCATCTCAACGTATGCTGAATCCGGCATGGGGTGAAAACCCCCCCGGCCTCCCACGAACCGAAACAATCATCTGCTTTTTTTGCTCGTCTCCAGATCAGCTTGTTGTCGTCATCCTTGCCAATGAAGATAACCGCTATGAACTTCTGCCCAATCCATCCAAAATGCGTCAATGCCCATTCAAGCTCTTGCTGGCAATTCCTGCTCTCGAGCCAGAACTGATCGACGAGGAAGACCATGTACCTGGTAAAGCCCATCATGGCCTGATAGTATTGCTTCCAGAGTACATTTCGTGCCATGTTGACGTTATAGCGGTTTCGTTGCAGCCGGTACGACCCATCCAGGGTAGGCAGAACCAAGGCGTCGATGTATGGAACCAACGCTTGATCGGGGCCTGGTGCGGCGGCTGCTTGTAAACGGCGTGCAAACCGCTTTGCGTTTGCGAAGCCTCTGCCAGGAACTTCGTACGCTATTCCATTCGGTTGAATGTTTCCGGAACCGAAGCTGAGCAGGAGGTTAAAACGCATGATCGCGGTAAAGTCTGCCTGCAACGGTCGAAACCAGGCTGAAGCCTCGTCATCGGATTGAAACCATGCCGGCATGCAATGCTCGGCAGGTTCCTTCACATCAGGGGGAAACAAGCCAGTGCATTTGCCGTCTCGTGGGACATTTCGATTTGGCCGGAGCACCCTCTCGATGTATCCACGCGTACAATCGTACTTTTTCTTCCTTCTTTTCTGTCCAGAAGACATCTGCATGGCAAGCTCAGGGGCTGCACACGAAGGGTCTTGGCTCGGTCCGCATTGCGACTCGCCTGCGGCTGTGCACTGGAGGCAACAGGCGAGCGAGAGCCACAGGAACCAGGCCATGGCTTCCGCCCTGTCGCCCTATCTCTTCTTGGAGCCGAAACTGCCCACCGCTTCGACACCTAGGGCTATCTATCTAGATAGGGCTACCTATCTAAGACTTGTCTGTCTGTCTATCTATCTATACATACATACATACATACATATATATATATATACACTCACACGTACAGACACGTGTGCATAAGTGCCGGGGCCTGAAAGGACTGCAGTGCAGATTCTCTGCACGCAAACAGAGAGAGAGAGAGACACAGAGAGATGCGTGTGTGTACAAATTTGCATGTATGTGTTTGTGTCTATGTACATATATATATATATATATATGTGCTCCCCCCCTCCCCCAAGATCTACGCCATCGTGGTTCTTGGGGCATGGGGCGCACGAAACAATGTAATGCTCAAAAAATTCCACAATTTCCAACTTCAAAACTCACGAAACGTTGTTATACTCAAAAAGTTCCAAAAAATCCGAAAGTCTGGCATCTACGGCCAGGCCGGTGGCAGATTCTTCAATTTTTTTTGACCTTTTAATGTTTCGCAAGCTTTGAAGCTTTGAAAAGTTGATTTTCTTTGAGCATTACAATGTTTTGTGAGGTTCAGGCCACGAAACACTGCTATGCTCAAGTTGTGAGCTTTGAGGCTGTGCAAAGTTGGTTTTTTTGAGCATTACAGTGTTTTGTGATGTTCAGGCCGCGAAACATTGCAATGCTCAAAAAAAACATCAACTTTTCCAAACCCTGAAACTCACGAAACATTGTAATGCCCAAGAAATTGCGCGGTTTTATGGAAGCTGCCCCCGGCCTAGCCATAGTTGCTAGATTTTGAAACTTTTGGGGTTTTTGAGCATTACAGTGTTTCGTGAGTTTCAAGGTTGCCAAATTTGGAATATTTTGAGCATTACATGTTTCGTGACGCGGTATGCTGTTTCACCAGAGACAAGTGAGCTTTCAATCACTTTCAAAGACTAGAATTGCTATTTTTGTGTCTTCTGGAACAGCAACGGTTTTCAATACTCTTGCTTGTTATGTATGCACCAGGCCCACCTTAGTCTCTCCGTACTTTATTTCCTGTATGCTTTAGGAGGCTGGTAGACCTATGGCACCAGCAGCACTGGTTCTAGTACTTGAGTTTTCTTGGCAATGGTTTTGGCCCTTCTTCAGCAAGCTGCACAGCCTACAGATCCAACACTGTACTAATGAATGCCGCTGAAGTGCTGAAGCAGTGCAAGCCTATCTAGAATTTATTTCATTTCATATTGAAGACTGTAGGAAACAATGGAGACTTCCTGTGCTGCTTCCTATGAAACAGGAGTTTTCACAGTTAATTTTGACTGAAGCTGTCTCATACCTTGGAGAAGATACCGATCGCTAAGTCCATGGCTGTTTCTCTAATAGCTGTCATAAACTTAACGAAAAAAGTGACTCTCTTCAATCTTCAAGCGACACTCGCTAGATGTGGTCAACAGACAAAGTAAAGCTTGTTTGCTGGTCTCTTTTATTAAACCGGGTTTTTATTGAAGCCAGCTGCCTCATGTCCTGACAAAGCGATACCGGTCCTTCTGTCTATGACAATGGTTTAGACGCTGTCATAGTTCGTATCACAACATGTAAAGGAGCTCTCTTCAGTCTTCAAACAATAGAGGTCCCATCTTTTTCGCTGGAACAGCAGGAGTTGTATTTCTCTTGCTTGATACGTATGAGGATGGCGTCTTCGTTTACTTCGTGTTGTATCCTCATAAATAGATAGCGATTGCCATGCACATGGCTGCTTTGGATATCTGCACGTATCTGTCATAGATCGTGTCGCAATCTAAAGAGAAGTTTTCTTCCATGAACTGCCATCTTACTCTGCTTTACAAGGATGAGGAGCCTCTGCCTTCTGATTGACACGTATCAATACAGCCAGTGGTAATTAGTCCTGCTTCATGTTTGGAAGGCTGCAAAAGCTCTCTTACTTCTTGCTGCCGAGGAGCCTTCTTGTGCTCCCATATGCAAATGAAATTTTCAACTCCAGAGGAGCTTTGCCATTTCTTATGGGGCAAAAAACAGCTATTGGAGTAGGGCTTCAAAAGCGCTCGCATATTCGACTTCCTTCAGGTATGGTGGAAAGGAGATGGAATGGCCTCTTTGTGTCTGCTCACTCGTAAATCAAATGCTAGAGGCATCATGAGGCCGCATCAGAATCGGAGGCTTCACGAGCAGCGGGAAAGAGATGGCCCACGCACACAGACTTTTTCGTAAGAGAGACTACAGCATGTTTATTGTTAGAGGAATGTTGTTGATAAACACATCATAAAAACTATAAAACGCAAACGAACACGAGGCTTTTCAGTACTACATGAACAAAATAGCACGCCCTCCAGCATGTCAGCTTCTCCAACACATAAACTACCATAAATCTGCGCCCGAGATTCGGCGCCAGATTCATAAACATATCAAACCCGCGACTTGTAGCGGCACGGTTTGCATGCAGATGGCGATTAGCACGATTGTATCGGTATTTGCGGTGTTCTCGGCAAGTATGAGTAGTGGACCAATGTAGAGAAGCAGCCTTGGAATCGTGTGGAAGAGGCGGGTGTAGATCTTTGGGGGGTGACCATATGTGTATATATATATATATACACACACATTCATACACATCGGTATTTCCAGTGCTTTCTATATGCTTTACATACGGAAGAAAGCCGGCGGTGGATCATGGGGTGGGCGTGACCATATATATATATATATATGTATACACACAGTATGTATACATGTGGAGCTCTGCCGCCTTCGCTACATAGCTGCCGAGGCTATTCTTGACAGATCTGGGGTCTGTGTGTGACGGCCGTTGGCAGCCGTCGCCCGTCGTGCAGTTTCACAAAAGCTTCGACACTATCTTGAGACGTGCACGTTCTTGGTGGGGCTGCTGCTGTCTCGAAGCTCATGCTGCGCCTCACCCTTGAACGCTGTATGCAGCACGCTTCTCATGAAGCGAAATTGAGAACATGGTGCCGTGGTGCATGCAGAGCACATAAGGGCACATGAGAATCCTGGTCTATAGTGCCAGGAAGTCATGCCTAGCCACCCTACTACAATGGACCTGACTTGCAAGTACCCTGTTCCTTCAGGGTTATGATTCACTACTTGGCTCGGACTTTCCGCATACTGCTCTCGGGGGAAGGCTTCTGGCCTGACAGTCATGGTCCCGGTTTAGTGTTCAGCGACGCGGGGCGAAAGTTTGAACGGACAAGAGTTCTTTTCGTGCCCATTCCGTGACCGCGACTGCCGTTCACCCGTTCAGGATAAGCCTGACAGAGGGTGGTATGAGAGTGTCAAGCAATACGGGAGCCTCTGCACAACCAACATGACAGAATAAGATCCTTATTCTGGGGACCTCTACAGATATGGGCACGGCCTGAAAGTTAGGACCTCTTCAGAGAGGTGCTTCTACACGCCTACAACCTGGAATTACAGCTGCCGTTTTGGTCTTTGTTTTTGGAAAGCGGGGCCCTGCGCAGCACGACACTGCAGGCCTGAGAGATTAGGTTTGGGGCTCTACCCAAACCCTTAGCCCTCGCCCTTCAACCCGAAACCCTAAACAGCCCTTCGCATGCAAAGCTGAAATTCAGCTTCATCACCGCTTTTCGCTTTGCCAGAAACGCGGCTGAGGGTTGCCCTGTTGACCCTTGGGTCCCTTCGGAGCTTTGGAGCTCAGGGTCAAGTGCACCTAATCCTATACTACACACACATTATATACATATATATATATATATGTATGTATACACGTACATACGTACATACATACAACATATAGCCACCTACCTACCCAAGTACATACATACACACATGTGCGTGCGCACATAAACGTGTATGTCAAAGAAATACGCAGATAGATACCAAAAAACGCAGTAAACCCTCGAAGAGAAGCCCGATTTACAGCCATCTTTTAAGAGCATCACACACACACACACACACACACGCACACACCCATGCACACATACACACACACACACATCCCCCAAGCAAAAATGCGATGACAACAGGTCATGCAAACAACACTGGTCGAGAGAAAGCCCCGACTGGACATTAAAGCCAAGACTAGCCCAGCAGCGGGCACCCAAAATCGGCAGAAAACTCCTTGTAGGGCACCATGAGTTCAACGGTCAGGCATGTGGGGCTGCCAGGCGGCAGCGAGCTTTGGAGTGTCGAGGTCAAGGCTTTGTTACGATGCACAGGGTTTAGGATTTAGGAACCAGGATCAGGGCTTTGGGCCTCGGACTCAAGACTCTACACCCATCAAATCCTGAAACCTTCATGCTACAAACGCTTAGAAAATGCGGAAAGCTAGGCTTGGTCTTCGAGGCTGTCGCCCTTGGAGAACTGAAGCAAAGTCGGCTTCGGGGCTTTGAGTCGGATTCAGGGCTTCGGGTTTCGAAGCCATAATAATAATAGTAATAATAATAATAGTAATAGTAATAATAATAATAGTAATAGTAAACAAGGCATGGCAAACAACATAGCTCTGAACCCTCGAAGCCTGGAACTCTTGATTCTCGGTTTGGATCTTCCCTGTTGGGCTCCGGGGACACACAGGAGGATTAACGACCACAGCCTGAACTCCGAAGTGCAAGAAAGGCCGGTTATTCAACAACGGTGTTGAGAACGCTGGACAAGAGCTGTTCAACGCTGAACTGAACGCTCCAATTCCAAATCCAAGACCCAGAGATCCGGAGTCGTTACCTCTAGATGTCTCATGTAGGGGTTCAGGCTTCAGGAGTTTGGAGGTTGAGGAGCTTGGGGTGTGGGGGTTTCGGGCTTAAGCGCTCCACCCCAACCTCCTCCAGCAGGGGGTTCTTGTCACCCTCTCGAGTCATGCAATTCTGCGGCTGTCAACGACGATGCCCCATTCATGACTCTAGAGCATTGGTTCTCAAAGCCACGGGCCATCGTCTTGTCCGCCGCCGAAGACGCCAAGGGCTCAGAGTATCAAACCACTTCTTAACGACCCTAAGAGAATCACAAGAGCAAGAGAGAGAGAGACAGAGAGAGGCATGTGTATAAATATTTTTTATAGGTATATGTATATTCATGTGTGTATATATGTATGTCTACGCATATGTCAGTTAAGGTTCATACACACTATATCGATACAAATATACATATATAGTTAGGTATACCCATATCAAAGAGAGGGACAGGGAGAGATCTAGCGGATACGAAAATGTGTTGACATGTAGGGCTCTCGAGAATAAAACTTCAGCCCCCCAAACCCTAGTTTAAACATTCAGGCCTCTTACTTTCTCGGCTTAGCCACGAGCTGCTGCGCCTTTTCGACGAAACAGCCAAACAAAATTTCAGTTTGTTATTGTCTTATACGATAAGACAAACATGCAAGGCTCCCACCAAGCAGTGCTGCCGTACTGTACTGATCAGAACGACCCACACGTCCCTGAACCCCTGGAAGGCCTGCACCACACCACATTGATTCAGTTCAGCTTGTATGGTTCAGAGTGAACAGTCCAGGCTTTGGGATTCTTGTTTTCAGGCTTCGGGGCTGGGGGGGCTGCCCCAATCCTTGGTTTTTTCATGCAAAGCACCCCTTCAACTTCACCCAGAAGACCCCGGTTCAGGTTCTTAGGATCTGTTGGTGGTTCAAGGTTCATTGTGCGTAGGTCTGCCGTTGCTGTTTGGGTCTGACGGTTTCGTTACTCTCAACCTGAACCGTCGTCCCAGTGGGCAGTTCCCAAATCCGGTGGCTCCGAGCCCCACTGCTCTTCACAAGAACTCTGCCGGCACGGCTAGTCCCCGTGCAAAACATGCCAACCATGAGAGCCCTTCAAACAAGCGGCTACATGAGTGCAGGTTTAGGATTCGGGCAAAATTCTGCTACAAGAGCAAAGGCGCACAGTGAATGATCTCACCATGATATTAGGCTTTGCAGGCAGCTTATGAAGTTTTCTGTGAGCTTCCGACTGGAGTCACTGAAACAGCTGTTCCTAGCTTCGCGCGTCAACGAAACCTCGAACCCTAAGCCCTAAAACCCCCAGCTGACCCGAAGCCCTAAAATTCTGCGACCCGAAACTCTAATCCGAAGTTGGACGAAGGGGGCGAGCGTGCAAAAAGGGAGCATGCAAACCCAGAGACGCCACAACCCCGTAACTACGCAATACATCTTGAGTTGTAGAGGGATCCTTAGCATGACTTAGGGATGTTTGAAAATCCCGTAAGAGCTTTATAAACCCTAAACCACTATTAACGATCGTGTTGGCGTCTCTGGGAACGAGACGAACTCGCTCGAGTTGCAGGCGCAGGAGAAAGGTTTCAGGTTACAGCTTGGTTTGTCCAGGAGTTCAGCATGTGAAGGCAGGTCGTTTTCATGGATGTTTTCATATGTGAAGAGTACAAGGTTCAGGAGTTCAGGGTTTTAGGGCTTAAGGTTTAAGGTTAGGGCTCGGGACATGGAATTTCAGAAGCACGGTTCAGGCCGACCCCGCGAGTGCAAAGTTCGACCTCGTCTCATGAAGAAGACGACCATATAAGGGGGCTAAGGGTATAGGGATACAGTGAAATCATACGGGTTGGAGGTAAGGCTTCCTAAAAGTGCGAAACCGAAAACCTCTCAGCGCAGACGACCTTCGCAAGGTGGCTTGTGCCCCCAGCGATATTTGATTGCATGCTGTGCTCTCTATCCCTCCCAGCACCAACTGGGCCATGCTTTCGTATTCGATTTCGTTTCAAGGGTTCTACACCCTTTTCCCACGCCGGGACATCATTTCGCCTCAATCTCAGAGGCAAGGCGTCGGAGCCGCAGGTGTACCAGGTGCATGAGGCCAATTCCTGCAGAATTGCGGATACGGGCTCAAGAACCCAGGGGCTCTTCCAAGGATCCGCTTAAGGTATCTACTGTTTCAAGCAGGACTCCCTAAATTAACACATGTGCAAAATACTATGGTACATTACAGATTCTTATAGCATTAGCGTATATTTTTTGTTCTGTAGTGAAGAAATCCCGAAGCGACATTTGGCCTCCGAACGGGGCGCAAGAACTTGGCCGAAGCTGCTTGCCATGATCATATATACGTTGTTACAATAAAATCTGCTGAGGCTGTCGAACTACATGCCAAAGCGGGCAATTTGATCCAACTGGCAGACACGAAGCACATAACGTTTAAAAAAGAAGCCAGGGCATGGGCGCCAAACCCTCAAAAGCCATGAACCCGGCCAGTTACCTGCTCAAAGAATCAGAACACCGCATTGCAGCCAAATCAGGACCACGAGATGAATAGAAGAGGACGAGCAAGCCCGCTTATTGCAGTAAACCTCTTCGTAAATCCACGCAAGCCAATAACAACCAATCCAAAGCTCAAACCCTGAACCTAAACGTGCATCCCTATACCCCATATTGTAGATCCCACGTCCTTCAGCATCTCTACGCCCTGAAATACATACCGAAAGCTCAATGCTTGGACTCCTTTTGGGCGAATGCATTCATTAACCTCCTTTTCGGGGGTCACGAAGAATATATATGTGTGTGTGTGTCTGTATCTGTCGGTTTGTGTGTACATATATATATATGTATATATATATATATGTATACACACACACCTTTCTATCTACATCCACGCATCTATACATCTAGACGTCTATACATCTAAAATATGAAGATGAAGCTAAATATTAGATAAATATAAACAGAAGTATAAATATACATGTATGTGTGTATATATTTATACATGCATATGTAATCTGGGGTTGGGGGTCTTTACTTGCGGGATTTAGGCTTCCAGGGTTTGAACGTTGGGGGTTTGGGGCTTAGGGGTGATGAAGTCTGAGGGCCTTGCCTTGATTCACAGCCCAAGAATTGGCACCGACGGCTTCCTGCCAAGTCGGTGCGGTTTCGGATTCAGGCTTCAGGCTTTGTGCTGCCAGAGCTGTAAGCATTTTTTTGCGGTGGTGTCGAGATATAGCCCACTCCATGCACGAAGCTGACGTACATCATGAGTTTTCGGACATGAACATACACGCTTCTGCATGCTGCAGGTCGCAGTACAGGGGGCCGCACGAGACGAAACTAGGGCTGACGGCTTGTGGCACAATGAGTTCTCACTTGCAAATGCACCTATGCAGAACGGCGGAATTTCAAAAGGTTATGCCACGGCGTTCAACGGTCGTGATTCTGGTGTCGATACCGACGATGAAGGGTAGTCAGTCAAGGACGCTTCATGCTTAAGACAAGGAGAATGCCGAAATCGCCGTTAAAATAGGCCGAACCCTCCCCGAACTGCAAACCCTTCTACCTTAAATACTCTAAATTCCAAATGCACGTCTAGGCTCGGCGTCGTGATGAGGTTCTTTCGGAGCTAGGACTTCGGATTTCCGGCGAAGCTCAAGTCTGAAACCCCAATGCTGCTGCGGATGTTCACGTCAGGATTTAGGGTTTAGGTGGTTTAGGGGTTTGGGCTTACAAGAATGCGACGGGGGTGTGAAAAGAAAATACTAGGAGTTAACAAAGCAGCTACTACTATATCCGCAGAGACACAGCCACTCCAAGACCCGAAACCTTAATCTCTCGAGCCCTAAAACCCTGAAGCCTTGCAGTTCTACTCCTAAAACCCTGAAAACCCTCTCAAGTCCTTTCAATCACTCACCAAGAAAACGGGTCGCCTTGATGTCACGGGACTGCCGAAGGCTGATGCTCTTCTGCATGGCCACTCTCGGCCTGGATGCTTTCAGCTACATTGAACTTGAAGTTTTGACGGGGCAGATCTTGCCAGTCAACACACTGCCAATGATGCACACGACATGGCAACTGATGCAGGCAGGGCAGTCAAGCGCTTGTGCTTGCGGAGGAAACCGATGTGGCTCGTAATCAAGCAAATTAAAAACACAAAACTGGGGCCAGATCCAGATAGTGGCTGCTTAAATGTTTGGGCCCGTAGACCACGACTCTGCCTGACATAAAACAGGTCTTGTTTAGTAGCTCTCAGTAGTAGCCCTTCATCCACCACTGATTGTTGTGACCTTTTCCACGACGTCGACGACGATCGCATGCATACGTGTAAACATCGTGCCTCGAAAACTGGCCTCCGCGACTTGCATCCAAGCAGCGGCGGGTTTGGATGTTTCTGAAGCGGCCATCACTGAGTCGTTCTCATTTTTGATTGTCGTTCCCGGTGCAGCGGTACTCGTGGACATCATTCACTGGGAATCTGCCCCCAAGGCTTTCGTCAAGGCAAAGGCCAGAGTCAAAATTGATCATCTGGCCATCCTCAGAAAAGTACCACGTGTGTGTGTGTGTGTGTGTACGTCCGCATTTTACATAGATGGTAACCCCGCCGGGGGGCAACCTGTAAAGGAACTGCTAGGATTACACGTTTTTGGGGTTGGTTATGTTCCAAGAGTCTTAAATCTTCGGTTCGAAAAGAAACTTTAAACTCAAATTGCGAAGTTTGCAAACCCCACGAAACAAAGCTTTGAAACTTCGGAATATTCAATACATTCAACCGTCCAACAGCGCCCAAAACTCGAAAACTATCCCAAAAACAAAGAGATAACAGTTAAAAACCCAAATATACATTCCGGCCGTTGGTTTGGAATTGTGGTTCTCAATAACCATTAAATTTGTTTTCTGTGGTTTTGCAATGTTGCATGTTTGGGCTTGCCAAAGATGCTTTGCAACTTTCGGTTTGTAATTTCTGGAAGATTTAAGCTTTGCCAAACCCGGGAAAATCTCCCCACACTTACTTGATTTGACATTTCGAAAGTCATGAAATTCGGGTTTTTGGGAATTGAGTTTGAATACCCGTTTGGTAGTAAGGTCGCGGCTGAACTGCATTATCAACCACATAACTAACGGAAAGCCTAAGATTGCATTGATATTTGCTGAGCATTTACCCTATTTTGACCTTTAGACAGCACTACCCTGTATACCAGTACCACTGATTAACTGTTAATCGCACAGGCCCGCAGATTCGTTGGATACCTTCTTGATGTTCGGTAGTGAGTACGGCTATGTCTAAATACCTTTGTCCCCTGAACAAAAGTAATGAGCATTCGTCGAACATTTGATATTCTCACAAATTTGTTCAACATTTCGTGAACAAGTTTGTGTGAACTTAACCGATGTGCGCATACAGTTCATTGGCATTTGCGAGAAGTCAATGCCGAGGCAACTAATATGTAATCGTTAACGGGTTTCAACCAGCGTTTAGCAAATACTTCGTTTAAGTTTCAACTGCTTCCGTGGTCACGCAGACCTGGGGACCCCGACACCTCCAGAAAGGAGTCAACGCTGTGGGCAAAGTCCACCATCATGCCGCAGGCCGCCTGGTGGCTTTAAAAGCTTTTAGGGTTAAGGGTTAAGGGCCGTGGACCGTAGCCTATTACGCGAAAGCCTACAGATCCAACATGCACAGACTTCCCAACTCTCACCATCTGCTCCGGCCCAATCAGATGGCCTCAGCATAGGGTTTACAGCAATCTGTATTCAAGCGTCTAGGAGCTTAAAACTTAGATTTGGGGCACCGGAGACAAGAGCAAGCGCAACACAAACAGGCATGCGGCATGAGGCCAGTGACAGCGACAACCATGGAAACAGCGGTTGCCGAAGCCTGGAAACTGCCAGCATTTCGGGACATGGCCGCCATACAGCACAACTGCATATCCAGCAATCAAACAAACTAGAGGTTCACAAGTCAAAAGAGGCCGTAGGCAAGAACCCAAGCCCTAAATCCCACACCAAGCACGACGGGCACCTCCGGATCGCTCACGAGGTTGCTGGTAAAGTCATCGCAAAAGACCAGTCCTCACGGCAAACGTTTCTTTGAGTTTCGGAACTCTCCTAGATCCTGGTCCTCTCTATCCCGGGCATCCTTCGGAACGGCGGCCACAACACCCCGGAGCCCTTCAACCACACCTGAAGCCATACCCCTGAATACCCCTGAACCCTTCGCCCCAAATCCTCAACTAAACACGCTGAAGCCTGTCGAATTGAAAACCGCTTTTCTGAATCCCTGCGGCATTCCCCCTGCAATCGCACGAATACAACGAAGTTCATTAACCCCTATCGTACAGTAACCCTTGCAGGAACCCGCATGGGAACCCTTGAAGGGTCCATTTTTTTTAAGCGAACCCTAAGCCAAACTGTCAAGCCGAGGGGCCCTCCATGGACACTAGGCCGAAATCTCCCAGCCATGTCGCCTTGAAAACCACCTTTCAGAAGGGGGTGTCCCAAGAGCTTCGTCTGGATTAAAAGGGGCTAGGAAGCAAAGGCCAGGAGAGGGTCTTTGTCTTGTTGTTGGTGGTGTTGTCGGCTTCGGCTTCTTCGGCAACTAAAGCTTGGTGTTTACAGTTTTTAGCATCTGGTGCGTTCAGGCTGGAGGTTTTTGGAGCTTCAGCTTCAGGAATTTGGGGCTTCAGAGCTGACCTTTCAGGGCTGATGGAGGGTGTTTGAGGTGTTCACGGCTTGTTCGTGTTGATTGGGAATCACTCGGGTGGGGTTCGGGGATTGGGGTGTTCGGGGTTTAGCGACTTATGTGTCAGAGTGCCAGACGTGACAGCGTTTCAAGGCTCAGCGCCCAGAACCCGAGTAGTCGGGAGTAGTTGTGAGGTCGCCAGGCTAGCAGCTCAATACTGCGGGCTTCCAGGTCCAAATTACCGTCCTTTAAGGCGGGTGGCAAGTCTGGCGGTTCGCATGTTCAACTTCCATCCAGAATATCTGACGGCCCAGGATTCCGTTGATCGCGCCTACCCAAACCCGAAAACCCCAAGCTTCGTCCGGCATCCAGGGCTCGCAACACGGATGGCCTGAAAGGAGAGGTCGAAGAGATGGCGTCGAAGACCTGCATGAAGCTGCAGGGCACACGCCGGTGAGTGAACTTGCGGCTCTTTTGGAATACGGGTGACTGGGGTGTCTGTATGAGGATGCTTGGGGAACAACCCTGCGTCATGTTCTGAGTAATGGTTTATTGTTTATGCTAAGGTTTGGAGAATCCAAACCCCTAGAACGCTGAGCACAACCGTCTTCAGAAAAAACAAACATAGATATAGAAATCAACACTCTGAAACCTCAAACGCCCCGACAGAAGATAAATGTACGTATGTAAATAGATATGTAAAAACATGTGTACATATACAGTAGTGTCAATCCATCCATCCGTCCATCCATCCATCCATGCATCCATCCACATGCACTCATGCCCGCATACATGCACGCATGCATGCATGCATACGTACATACACCTATTGATCTTGCTGGTAATGACTATAACAAGCATGATAATAAAAGGACCAACAAGCAATAAGAGCAAGGGCAAAAGCTAGAATCAGAATCAGAATAACAATAACAATGATACCAAAAGGCAAAGAAAACATCTACTGATACTAACCATAATCCCAAAACTGAGTAAACACGAAATTCTGAAAGGCCTCCTGGATTCGGCCACACGGAGGCCAGGCCCTCCACCTCCTTCACACCCACGACCTCCAGACCGCCTTCAGGGCTCCAATGAATTGAAGATGTTTTGGAAGGGTTCTGTGTGGTTTTTTGCAGGCGTACAAAGGATTGTCTTACGGCTTGTACGGGCTATAGGCGTTAAAACAGGGGCCTTGATGATTGGAATGGTGCCTCGGGGCTACATTTCAATGTACTGTATTTATTGGGGACCATAGGGGAACACTATTACTAAATGTGATGCCGTCAATATGATCTTCTGGCTTTTCACAGAGATCTTTCTGGGATGCCTGATGGCTTCTGTTTTGGGTTGAGGCTTGAGGGTTTCAAGTCTAAGGTTGTCAGCATCTCGTAAACCGTATACCCCACGCCAGCCTATAAAACCTTGTTGAAGACTGTGTTACAATTACTATGCTTTGTTTTGCTTTGCGAAAAAATCAACCCCTGAAACGGTAAACCCAAAAAACACCGTGTGCAGCGGAGGGTAGGCACCAATATAAGCCCAACGCACAAGAACTGCATAACTGGTTCCTGATAACTTCATGGCTCAGTCAGCACTCAATTCTGTTTTAATGCTTGCTGCCGCGACTATCAACAACATAAGTTCTACCCCTACTACTATCACCATAATTACTGTTGTTGTTGTGCTTGTGTTCTTGACATCACTATAATCACTAGAATTAATACTACTCCTGTTCTCATGAGTGTTGATAGTGATAGTATTTCATTAGTATTGCCATCATCATTGTCACGGTGGCTGTCGTCACTATAGTTGCTCGCGTAGTCATCACCAGGCAAGGTTGTCCTTCAAAGGAACAGAAATAGAGCCCGATGCCCAAATGCTTGGACAGAGATCCCTCACGATGGCATAACCCCCCAAAGATGGTGGAATCACCGAAATGATAGTATACCTTCACCGATTCGTTGAATCCGTCTTGAAGGACTTCTGAGGTGGGTCACCCCTGAACCTCAACCCTGGCCAAGCCCGGAAAGAACCCGTGAAGAGCCCTTAAAAAAACCCTATCCCTCATCAGGGGACCTCTACAAAGGACTAACCCAAATCTTAACCCTGCCGAAAAGTTGTATACTCTTATGAACGTCTTGTAGAACTCTTAACCACCCTTACGATACCCAAGTCTTTATCGAGAGACCTCTAAGCAGGTGGCTCGCAAGTAGTGGGGAACCGAGAAAAACTGCAACTCTTGTCAACCCGAACCCCTAAACCCAAACGCCCTAAAGCTAAAACCCTAACCCCCCTAAACCAGGTGCCAGTCACTCTCGCCCCTTCATCGGCGCTTTTTGGGGCTTTTGCCGAGGCCGCCACCAACGTCCCCGCAGGGCACCCGCATCTCGGGAAGGCCCTCGAGCTCCTCGGGCCCTGCGGCAATTGGGGTTAGGGGTTCAAGGGTTTAGGATTCAGGGGTTGAGGGATTCAGCGGTTTAGGGATTTAGGGGTTCAGGGATGTAGGGGTTTAGGGATTGAGGGGTTTGGGGGTTTAGTGGTTGAAGGGTCTAGGGGTTTGTGGTTTTGTTTATTTTTGGCGGGGGGGGTTAGGGCGTGTTCCAGTCTGGGAGGGGTGTGAAATACGACGACAGGCACCAGAAGTCCTACACCCTAACTGTTCATGCCCTGTTTCCCTGCTGTAAACAAAAGGACAATCTTGAAACTCGACAAGCAAAAAATAGCGGGCTTTACCACGGGCTACCGGGCTTTTTGGGCCTCTGACGAGTAGGTCAGGCATCAAGGCTCTCTGATCCCAGGGTAAATGCCTCCCAGTAGTATCTCCAACCGCCGCCGAGCCCAAACTGTGAGATCAATCTCCTGGGCTTGAGGATTCAGGGCTTCAGATTCCTGGCTTGTTGGGGATTTGTGTTCGTGAGCTTCAAGGCTCCTAAGTCATCAGTACATGACATGACTACCTTTTGGGGGGACCTCCAACTCTGCTACTAGACGAATTCATCTATCAGAAATCCCCTTTTGGTTGTTCTACTTTGCAAGGTCCCTACATTTTTTGACTTGCTCCTTCTGGTCCCTTACATCCCGGCCGATTTTCATCAGCACGGTCTGGGGTTCAGGGTTTCGGAGGTCTCCAAACCAAGATTTTGTCGAGAAAGGAGCTCTACATGCTGGGCACTTCACTAAACCCCACAGGCCTTAGACCTACCCAGCACCATAGCTGTAGACTTCAAGAAGCAACACCGCAGGTATCTTCACGTCCCAGCACACCTCAAGCCCCCGAAGCCCTAGACCCTCATCCGTGAACTTGAATCCCTGAACCCCAAACCCTACACCGCCTTTCTTGAAGCTACCTGTGAAAAACCCTGCGGGTCCGCCTCCCAGGAACCCGGACCAACGGATCCTGGCTTGGAGCTTCAGGTTGACGGCTTTGAGGGCTTCGGCAAACGAGGTTTAGGGTCCAGCCTAGCCAGGGGCATTGGGCTTTTTGTGAGGGTTCGGGGTTCGGGCCTTGGTTTGGAGCCCAGGGCTTCGGCTGTCGCCAACCAGGTGGAAACCTTAGAAAAGACAGCGGCCACGGGACTGCACATTCGACAGGCCTTGAGGTTCGGGAAGTAGGGCTCAGGGTTCAGGGTCTGGGCTTTTGGCGGAGGCGAGGGCTTGAATAACTCTTGAAGCGACGGAAGCACTTCGAACCCCCGACGCGCAGGGTTCTTCAACCTTTGTGGCCTAGAAATTATCACAGAAGTAACCATCAGATTCAAGACAGTAGTAATGACAAAAATCTTCGTACTAAACAGCACCCTCTGTGCCGGTCTGGTGCTGAGATGCTTATAGACTCCGACAGGCTACTAAATTCAAGACGGCTGACGGTGCTTCTACCGAGTGATGGTGCAGACGCCCAAGGCTGAAGCTTAAAAGATCTAGCCATCGGCTGGACACATGAGCAAATCACCCGCCTGACGGCTGCGGAGAGGATCTTTGCCGGCATGTCGCCGGCGAGGGCGCTGCCGGCGCGCAAGGGGTCGGAATCTCGGAAGACCCCGCAATAGGGCGATAAGGGGTGTAGGTGGGATAAGGAGGTCTTTATGGGGATCGGGCCAAGTTTCGGGAGGTTTGATGTTAGAGTTCGGCTTGGCTTGGATCTAAGGCTTGAGGGGGCTTTGGGAAGCAACAATCCTCCTGCGAGCGGAAGTTGCTGCATGCCTAAGCCCCAAGTCGATTTCTGGAGTACCATGTGCTCTCCAACCCCAATCCCCTAAATCCTGAACCATCAACCCTAACCTCTGTGCCGACCTTCCGAGATCACCCCAGACGAAGGCTGAGGGCTTGGGCTGGCCATGAGACCCACAGCCCGGAGTCTCCCCGTGGTTTTGGCGAGAATCTACGGATTGAAGACGGCTCAAACCCTCAATCTTCGCACCAATGGTACTACGAAGGGTTGTAGAACAGGATCTAACAGGTTCTACTGAGATCTCTGCAACTTGTTCTCACCCTCCCAGCCTCGCGTGAAGTGACCACCCCTTCGGGCCCACCGGCATCGCATAGGCGACCTGGCCCCATGGCCAAATTACTTGGGGCACGTACAAGCCCTTGAACGCGTCCCTGTCTGCTCAGACTCTCAGTTTACTACTGAGGGCTTGAGGCCATGGAGAGGGCTCTCAGGGCTAGAGGCCTGATACTTGCAAAGCTACTTCGTGCGTGTACTGTTTCAAAGTGTTTTGCCTGTAAAGCAGCCGTTGTTTTGAGTCCTCCTGCAATTGGTGGGCTAAGATAGCGGATACTTGTCAAAGGGAACGTGATTGTCAACGGGAACCTGAGTGAGTAGAAACTGAGCACAACCCTACTGTGCATCGTAGAGCAACCTAACGCTAGGAAAGCCCTAACCAACTTCCCGCCCCGCGCAGCAGGTTGCTCCGTCAAAGGGATTTAACCGAAAATCCTGAAACAGCGAGGCCCTAAACCTAAGCCCGACCTTGCACTGGGTGAGAGATCCTGGAACTGCCATCTTCAAGAGATACAACTTCCAGAGCCCTGTGCCTAAAAAGCCTGAAACCACGGAACCATCCCAGAGACTCCAATATTCCTTAATTAAGGGGTATTGGAGTCTCTGGGATGTCCAAAGCCCCGTGGCCAGACCTTCCTCGCCCGCTGCAGGAGACGCCACGGCTCGTCGGCAGCAGCGCCTCCGTGTGATACCGGTTTCGGGTTTCTCATTGGGGGTTTCGGATGCTGGGTATCGGTTGCTGAGGTTCAGGATTGGGGGTTCAAGATCTTAGATCGCTCCTAAATCCTTGAACCTTCAACGTGAAACAAACCTTGACCGTTGAACCTGAATTCAACCCAAAACCCGAATCCTCAAACCCCATCAACCTCCAAAACCACCTACATCCTGGTGTTCGCACGCTGGGGCTTTGGCCTGCACAGTGCTGGGTTCGGCCCTGAAGCCCTGCAGCCCCCGAATCCCTGAATCCACAAACCTTCCCCAACCAGAATTAATCCATGAATACTTTGCCTTTTTGAATTTGGGGCTCAGGAAAGCAGAAAACATATGAGGCGTTTGAGAGAGCCCAAGATCAACAGCCTTGGCAATGGACCAAGAGCTTCGAAAGCCGAACTGCCCTGAAACCGCAAACTCTGAACCCTGAACCTCTGAAGACGTAAACCCTGCACTATGAACATCTGTTTAAGCCTAAACGCAGAAGCATTAGCCTTCAGCCCTGAGCTACAATCACCTGAGAAGCACCATCGATCTCCTGCCTCTTGTGGTACCGCCAGTCGGCCTCAGGCGCTCGAGGCCCCACCGGGAGGAATCTCACCCACTGATGGTTTACGGTGTAGGGTGAGATAGAAGATTCGCGCTTTGACAGGCGTAGGATCTGCGAGAAGCTTAGCAGGACGATGATGCAACGGCCTACACCTACTTCCGCTGTGACGACGCCTGCAGGACCATGACCTTGATTATGATTGCGACTATGGCGAGTCTCACATTCTACAGTAATCTTGTATTCTATTCTTGCTGTGGCTCTTCGTGATTCGTAGTAGAGCTACTGTGACAAAACATGGTCATTGCTCTTCTTCGGGGTCTTGCTGATGTCGTGCTTCGCATATTGAATACTCTACGTATGCAAGACTTCTGCATGGGCATGGCGTTCGGTAGGGTTGTATGGCGACCGTTGCTATGGTATTTGCGTGAATGCTTCTTGTGGTGGTGATGAAGCCGATGATCGTGGTGGTGATGATGTAGTAGAGGCAGCAGCGGCAGCAGCATGTCTTGTAGCTGTTGTAGCAGCCAGCATTTCTTCTAGCTGTTGTAGCAGCTGTGCCAAAAGCTGTGGAATCTCCTGAACTCCGAAACCCTCACCTCCAGATTCACACGCTCCGAGGACTTTGGCTACGAACCCGGCCGTGGCCGTCCTTGGCACCTCAGGGCCTGGTTTGCGGACTGGCTCCTGGCTTTTTTGAGGAATCAAGGCTCAGGATATACGTTCAGGGTTGGCCTGGCCAATTCGAGGTTAGTTCCCTTCTTGATAGAGACGGGTCACCTTCTGGCAGCTGCTGCTGCAGTAGCTGACAGCCCGGCATTGGCCACATCTCAGAGCTCGTAGGAGGGATTTGCCACCTTTGGCTGGCACTTACAGTAGGAATTCTGAAATTACCTGTTATAGGGCAGGATGTAGGGTCCTGCAATGAAACTTCAATGTTGGTGGAAACAGGCTGTGTTCTTGAGGCTTCGGCTCTTGAATTCTCGTACACTGCTTTTTGCGGCCGATCCCCGCTGTACACTCACACTTTCTCTTTCATTCCTTCGGCCCCAACTCCGGCAAAGATCTTCAGCACACACCCACGCTGTGAACCCGCACCCTGCGCTCAATTCAAAAAGCTGCCCAAAAAAACACCCACACCTTCAATCCTGAACCACGAGGCCAATCGGGAACCCGAACTCAGAACCCAAAAGCCCCAACCCTGAGATCCAAAACCCTAACTCAACCTCGAAACCCCTGCATGGATTCAGACCTCTTAACAGCCTGAAGCTTCTTGCCAGGATGCATCCCTGGCACTGCCCAGAGGTCAGGGAGATCTGGTCATCCTCCTCCCAGGTCTTGGCCTGGAGATGCGCAGTGCTTACGTAGGGTTCGGTGCTTAAGGTTGAGGGTGTTGGGATCCGGGTATCTGATGGGGATTCAAGATCGGGTCCCAAAGCTTTGGGATCTAGGGCTTTGTTTCGAAGACCGGCGCTTCACCGCGAAAAAGATTGCACAATCTATTTGAGACCCTTTGGCGAGACACTCGTGACCTTGCACCCCCATCCTGAACCCTGCACACGAAATCCTGAATCCCAACACCCTAAACCTGAAACCCACCGACTAGATCCAGTGAGCCTCGGAGCAGACGTGCCAGAGCGCACGGATGCCACCAGGCTCCTGCCCGTGAACAACATGCAGTAAAACTTGAAACCTACCACCCTACATACCTACCAATCCCAAACCTGCAATCCTAACACATGCTAAAGCCTTTAAGATAACCAAAAACTCTGAAGCCCAAACCCAAACTGATCGGAGTGTCTTGGAAGCTCAAGGGCAGGCTTGGGGCTTTAGGGATGCCCTTAGCCCCTTAGCCTTAGCCTAAAATATCACGAACTACCCCCCTAACCCCCCAAACCTGAAATTGAAGCCTAACCCCGGAGCCCGAAACCCTAAACCTCTTCAAAAGCCGACCTCCGAACCCCAAACCCTAAATTGTTATCAAACCAACCCCTAACCCCTCAACCTGCACAATGCAAATCTCCACTCGAAGGCTGAAATATGGTCCCAGGGACAGGTGTTTAGCATTTAGAAACCTCCTTTCTTGAACAGCTCTGGCCCAAACAAACTTTGTGGATTAAACGAAAAAGAGATCCGAAGCTCGCCACTTCAGGCAGGAATCAAGCAAAACTACCCTTGAACGTCCTGGGAGTCGTCCGAAGCAAAGGCCTCGCCCAGCGGCCGGCCATCAGAAAACCTGCGCCAACACCCGCTGCACGATGACATACGTAATGGAAAACACAGAAATACAGGTACGGAAAAAGTAAATGAGTACAACTGTTTGTCTCGGTGAAACAACAATCGTAGCTGGGCACGAACAGGAAAAGTGGGAAGTAGACGGACGCAGGCGAATAATGGCCTCTGGTCCGAGTTCTGGAGTCTTAGCTTGAGTATGCGATGGCGAGGTAATATCTTGTAGTGCTTGTGCTTACAAACTAAGCCCCCAGCTCATCACCGACCTTTCTCAGATTCAGCATGAAGCCAAAGCCTAAGGAGGCCCTGGATCATGCTCCAGGCTGATGCCTATCCCAGCTTTGGGCAAAACCATCGTTGAAGCCCCCGCCCTCCCTCTCAAGAGGCCTCGAAATCATCCACTGCTTCGAGTCGTTGAACTTCAACCATCGCGTGCCGTCGCCTCAAAGCTGAACCAATTTCCGAATCCCGGGCTTGGATAAAGATTGGGATTAGGTTGCCAGTTTTGGACTTACAGGTTTGCACGGTTCGAAGGATCGCATATTCGAAGTCTCAAACAAAGAAAGGCAAGTAAAAGATGTCGGAGTGGGAGGAAAGAGGAGACAAGCCGAACAAAAGACTTCTGATGTTCGGAAACTTCCTGCGGTAGACCCGCAGTATGGATAGGATGAAAGGTGGAAGCGCACCCAACGATCTCGGCTGCTAGGGCTGCTAGGATGTTGCTCGAGGCGGGTCTGCAAGATATAAGCCAAATGACGTATGTGTCGTCGGTCTGTCGATTTGGTTGTCCATATCGCAGCTCGCCGCAACTCTCGGACAAGCAACCAGGAACCCTGTCAACCGAGACGGCCTCCCGACGTGAACAGCCGAGGGATGCTGTGCTAGGGCAGCCATATCAACTACATGTTCGAAAGAAGCAACTGGCCTCGTCAGTCGTCATCGTCATAATCACCATTGTTAGCATCGTTCCACATCGTCGTCATGACAACACAGCAGCAAACTCGTAAGCTCAAAACTTCGACACTTGCACTTGGCCAAAGGACGCTTGCGGAGCCTTGGACGCCCGTTGAGCCAACCATCCTGGGGCCAGAGGCGCTCGGCGGCGCTCGGTACGCTTATCTGTTAGGCTGGAGCATTGCGCGTTTACGGAGGGTTCTTGGCGGGGTTCTTGTCGGCTCTAAACTTTCCGTGTCTCAATGTCTTCAACCTCGCTAAAGGGTCTCGGTCCAGAAGTTGAGGCTCTGGGAGATGCGGCGTTCAGGTTCCAGTCGCCAGAAAGCACACCACCGCGATGTCAAAACCCTCGCGTCCAAGCTTCACGATTTCAGGAGCGTTCGGGGTTTTGCAAACCCAAGCCTGTTGTCTACAATGACCCACGAAATCCCTACTAACGTTGCTTACGAACAAATCCTCCACGCCTCCAGGCCCTTGAACCCAAAACCCGAACCCTCACAACTTCAGACCCCTTGAACCCTTGAACCCCAGTGAGACACTTCGAGAGCGTCCTGTCGGTATATGCCGTTGACAACCTGCCAGGACTGTGAAAACACTGCTTTTTGCGCCTTTACAAGAAACAACCAGCACTCTTTCCTAATATGATAGTGGTAATGATGACAGGGATGATGAGCTCGAAGGATGAGTTCGGAGCTTCAGAATTTGGAGCGGAAGAGGCAAAAGGAGCTGAGGGCCCATCGGTTTGGGTTTCGAGCTGGGCAGAAGCTTGGGTTTCAAGCCTTGCACGTGTTGTGGAGTTCTTCGGATCAAAAGGTTCGAGGCGTGGACAAATTCAATCAAGTTCGGTGCTCATTGGCACCATAGGATTGAAACCAAAACCCCTCAAGCCCAACGCGCAACCCTGAAATTCTGCATAGACTCATGAATACACGATCAGGAACTCATGGCAGCAGCCTCCTGACAACGAGCCAGACAGTCTCAACCGTCCTTTGAAACCAGACACCACCCACAGCATACGAACAGAAATCAAGAGAAGAAGAATCATGGCCAGGGCAGCCGCAGGAAGCCTGACTAAACTCTAAACTCTAGACTCCGAACCCATAAACTCGTTCTTCGGAAAATCTTCAACCCCGTAGTCCAGCTCTTCGCGAGTATTCAGAGTTCAGGGCTTGGGGCTCAAGTTTCAGACTAGGGTCAAAGATGTTGACTAGGATCCGATATCTTGAAAAGGGCTTAAGGTTTAGATTCGGGTTAAAGGTCTTGCTTGGGGTTTAAGGCTCTGACTGAAGTTTAAGGTTTACATTAGGGTTTAGAGTCTAGGGTTGGGAATAAGAACCAGCCTCTCAAGCCATGCGAGCACTTACGGAAGAGTCCTAAACCGCAAACCTCCCATAAAATGCCACCCTTCCTGAATACCGAAACCCTGGTCAGGGCGGGCCAAGGGATTGAATTCTAGGGTCAAAGTCAAACGGTTTAGGACGTAGTGCGTAAGAACTTCAGGACTAACGCAAGCTTTTCGGTTTCCAGGCTCTTAGTGCTTGAGGTTTTAGGCTTCAGGGCTTCGGGGTGCCATAGTGCTGGGCCTGCAGAATTAGGATGAGCCGAGGTTATGAAAACCGAAAAAGCCTCAACCCTGCGAACCCGAAACCCTATCACTCCAACCCTATCATCCCAAGCTCTGAAGCCCGAACATCAAAATTCCTGCAGTTTAAGCCCAGAAAGCCTTAAACTTCCAAACTTACAGCCATAAAAACCTGAATTGAAAGCTTCTGCAGCCCCAGCAGTCTAAACACCGATATCCTCAATCGAAACAGCCACAGCCCGCAACCCTAAGCAGCCCTTAACCCTGAACTCGGAAACCAAGAACCCCAAACACCAAGAGCCCTAAACGTGCCGGAAATCTTTCCGGGGGAGCCTCAGAGTTCCAGCCCCGCCGGCCACAGACGGCCACAGAAAGGCACTCAGCTTGCTCCTGCTTAAAAAATGGGTGTTCTTAAGAAGTACCGCGTAGGGTTCTTGGATTGTATCCTTGGGTTGAGGGTTTAGGCTCTAGACTTTAAGGTGTGTTTTTGGCTTGATGGTGCTAGGTGAATTGTATGGGTTCTTCAAGCCTTCTTTGAGTGCGTCTTTCCTGAGAACAGATCCAAAGGCTTCTGCAATATAGGGGTCTTGATAATTAGAATATGGCTGTACAGATTTAGTTGCAGCGTTAGCTGAGCTATTTACAAGGGTTTCCCATTCGCTTTGTACTTTCTGTAAGCTGTTGAACAGGTTTCCTCAAAGCCTTTATAGGGTTTCATATTGGGGCCTTGCAGATTAGCATAGGGCCTTGGAGCCATAATGCTATAACTGCATTAGAATTCTCGGAATCGGCTCTGGGTTTAGGTGCAAGGGTCGAAATCTCGCTCTGTTTTGGGCTCCCTGTCGGGTGCCTAAAGTCAGAAATCATCACACCAACTTTGAATTTGGGACCCGGACCCAGTTGAAGGGCCCTCGGAGGGCCAACAGTACTCCATAATCCCGGAATGTGTTTCAAAACGGCAATACCCAAGCCAGATAGTCGAAGGTCGGGTGCTTGTGCTTGTGTTCGTTTAGCTTGCATTTTCGTGTTATTTTTGAAAGTGATGGGGCCTTTCAAAGCTCTCGAAGGACCCAAAAGCTTCTAGAGAGCGCCTCGGAGTTCGTTATCGGAACCCAAGATCCGGAAAGCGTTCAGTGTCTGAAGGTGTAGGTGATGTGACTCAGGGCGTGGGTTTTAAGCTTTAGGGTTTGGGCGTGGCGGCAGGTTTTCGTGGTTAAGGGATCAAGGTTTGTGCTTGGGACATTGGGTTCAGGGATGGAAGAGGAAGCGGATCCTGAAGCAACAATACCGTGCTTTCTACTGTAGTCTTGTGGCCCTTTTGCCTTACCCACCACAGCATTTGCCTCGTAAACCCAAAATGACCTCAGCCACTGACGGTAAGAGTTTGGCTTTGCCTTGGCATCCTCTGCATCCACCAGGCGCTGGAAGCGGGAGTAGTCCACATTCGCCTCGAAGTACAACAAATTTCACGGCATAGGACGACTTTCAGGTTTTGGCATGCTTACACCGTTAAGGAAGGCAGCAGGTTGCAGGGGAACCTCAAACAGAGATGTTTGATCCGCGTTGGCTTCGGGAGCCAGACACTCGGGAAAGCTGCAAACTCTCCAAACCTCCAAAACCATAACACGGGCCCTAGTCGTGAACTAGAGTTTTGCGGCATGTTCCACTGCAAATGCGCAGGCCCCCTCAGGCAGCACGGCCCGAGACAGAGATTACAGGGATTCACCGGATACTGTCACTTGTACGTCTCAAGCCTCAACCCTTCAACCAGGCCTTCACCGCGTGATCAATGCCCGGTGCACTGGCACCTGGCGGCGAATTGGGAAGAAGCAGTTTCGGATTCACGTTATGGTTTAGGGTTCCTAGTTTCCCGAAGTCAGGAGAAGCAGGAGCTGTGGAAGCAACTGTCATCACGCATGCACTGAGGCGAACACCGATTGACCACAACGTCCTCATTGATAAAGTTGAATAGTACTGGCTCTTTGTTTTTGTGGCACTACGATTAACCTAGATCATGCGAAAGCCAAATCCAACACGTTTGAATCCAGAGCCCTAAACCCCAAAGCCCCGCAAGCTAAAACCCAAGACACAACACCGTGTCTGGGGCTGCTGGCTGCAGGTGGGCAGCAGCGTTGCATCCCCAGGAGGGCTGGGTGACTCCTGAAGGGAAACCATAGCAGCTAGCAGGCTTCGGGGTCCAGGGCTTATGGGCCTTTAGCATCCGAGGCTCTTCAGCACTCCGGAATCTTGACCAACACGCAACTCCTGACGCACACCCGAAACCAAAGCCCAGGTGGAAAGGTGAAAATGCCTTCAAGGTTTCGGAGTCTTGGCTCTGCACGGCACGAGGGGTTGAAGGCACATGGGCCTTCCAAGCATATGTGCTCTCAAAACCCAGACCAGAAGACCCATGGTCCTCTGGATTTGGACGAAGCCTTGGCTTTGCAAGACTCGGATAACCCTAAACCCCTTGCAGGAACCCTCGTAGCAACAGGAGCGCTTGTCGGCCTTTAGCCGTAAAGCCCTAAAACCCTAAACCTCGAAACAGCTTGGCTTGCTGGTTCCTGGAATCTTGAAGCACCCGCGGGTCTCACTTCTTCCTTCTTCTATCCTATTGATATGAGCGCACACACACACACACATGCCGAGGACGTTCGGGGTTGTTGTTGGAGCTGTGTACCAAGGAGGCAACCCCTCCGGCGCATGTGACGGCCTGATGTAATGATACCCCAAACCCTTAACCTCGTCCCTTGAATCCACGAACCTCAATCCACTCAGGCCGTAGACACTTCGAAATGCCAAGCCCCGAAAGCCTGAAAGCCTTGAAACCCCGTGGCACCAAGCCATCAACCCTTCGTATGCACCGGGTGCCTAAAGTAGAAGTAGAAGTACCTTACTTAAGGGTCTTCATGAAATCTGCTGTGACATGAGCTGTGACGGCAAAACGACCGTGCAGATCACGACCCCGAAACCCAAACCCCTATTGCCTAAACTCTCCAAACGAGCATTCCGGCCAAGCGGCCGTCGAAAGAGCCCACAGATGCGCGGTATTCCCAGCCAGCAATGGGGCATGATCCGACGGAAGCCAGGCTTTTTCCGATGTGGTTGTACAGCTTAGGTGCAGAGCTTACTCATAGCTACTTTCATCGCCTCACAGCCTAATTCGCGAAACTGCTGTCTCGCCATCGAAGCTCCGTCGAGTCTAGTCATGATGCCCACCCCGACAAGTTCAAATCCTACAGCCGATGCGCCCAGGTTAGGCCGGAGGCTTGAAACAACGAGAGTCCATGTTCTGTATGAGGTCCAGAGCTCAAGGTCTCGTATGTCAGGGTGTGCAGGCTTGAGGGTTTACACGGTTGCAGACCTTAGGATCTTTATCGAAGTCTGCTTGCGAGGTCTTCGACAAGGAGGGCGGGAATAGCAGATTGGCACTTCAGGAGATCGCAAACTTCGACTCAATTGTCTTTTCAGCAATCCGGCTGTGGGGGCAGCCAGTGTTTGTTGGGTGCTTTCCAGCCTGCAAGCCCATGCTTAAGGCTCCCAAAAACAGTCCCAAGCCCAAGATGCAATCGGGGGAGTGTCACACGGGACACGAGGTTTACGGCTCAGGGGTTAAAACCGAGATTACGAAGCTTTGTGCCAGAAACCCCTTGAAGGTCATGAACCCCGCACCGCTGTAGGAACTCGCAACTGTTGCAGCAGCAGCAGCAGCAGCAGCAGCAACATGTGACCACAACTCAAGAGGAGGATGGATCCATGCCAACCGGGTGCGACTTCGCACGGTGGATTTAGGCATCTCATGCGACAAGGGGCCTTGAACTAATCCAAAACAACCCGAATTGAATGTTAAAACCAAATCCGCATCCCTCGCGCAGCGACTTCCTGAAAGATGGAAACCCTCAACCCTAAACCTTAAACCCCCGGCCTGAGACCCAGACCGCTGAGCCACTTGTAAAGGACTCCAAACTCTCAACTTCAAGCCAGATGGCACCCTACATAAACACTTTCAGAAATCTGAGAACCTAAACCGCCAAACATTGGAACCTTATATCCTATATAGACCCTACGAAGCCTCCAAGGCCCAAGCCAAGAACCTTTTCATGACTTCCCCACGGTGAAGCCTTACTTGCCGGCGTTGGAGTTGGGCCCCCGCTTCGGTCCACTCTTGACCACCTGGCTGAGTAAAATGAAACCGAAGGGTTAAAGAGTTAAGGGCTTGGGCATTTAGGCTTCTGTGGTTGAGGCTTTGGGCTTCGAGGGTTGAGGGCTTTAGGTTTCGCGGCTTGGGTGTTGGGGTTGAGGATTTTGCGTTTGAAGGTTCAGGCGTTGATAATTGAGGCTTGGGGTTTGGTTCAGGGTCTAGCGGTTTACGATTTCACGGGCAGTACCAAGAATCTTGTGAGTGCTGCTTTAACTTGTCTTGTTCACATCATGGCCAGTAGTACTACTGATACTGTCAGTAATTTCTCGTGCGTACAATTTGTTGCAGCCCTACTTTCGGTGGCTTGTTGTGGACCTCTGGGTTGCAGGCAGGGCTTTTGGGTTCTTTGGCTCAGGGAAAACTTGAGTTTGGAATAACTGGGTTACAGCATGCAATATTGACTCTAACAATTTAGTGCACAATGACCTTAAGGGTGTGATTTGCCTGAAAATATTATCTGAGTTCAGGCTTTTCAGGAGACATCATGCCCACAACCTGAAGTTAAAGCTCAAGGGCAAAGATGGTCCGAGATTTGGGGTCAATCGTTTCGGAATTGGGAATAGGGGTCGCGACGAACAGCCAGGGGCAAAGGCTTTCGGAGTGTCATTTCACGAAGCCTCGGGAAATTGGTGCTGCTGGATCCTGGCTACAAGAACAAACAATGGCTATGAACAGTGGTCAAAACAAATCAGAAAACAGATCCAATACTGGCATAGGTACATATTTTGTACGTGTATACACCTCTCGGAAGCCGGAGTTCTTCTCACGTATCCTTCTTGTGCAAGAAGACATCACTGCTGGCATCAACTTTACAAACACACGATATTTGGTCTCTCCTTCGTCCGACTTGTTGTTGATCTATCTTGGACATGAGCTCTACGGAATTCTGCAGGCATGAAGCTGTGTTTTGCTGCTAGCGATCGCTACGCCGCTACGTCTGGTATGTCACGCTCCCAGTCCACATGGCAGAATTCGAACACTGAGAATCAGGGTTCTGAAGAACGGTAGCAACTGCATATAGTTCCAAAGTTTTCCAAGAATCGCTAAAAAGAAAAAAAACAAGAACAGGTCGATACAGTCACAGGACCTGGGGTGTCAGATCAGGTTCGTGGGCGAATATTGCTCACCATTAGGTTTCTGCTGATCAACATGGGGTTCCAAACGGAAGGTGGCAAAGATACTTGAGCGTGCTTGAAGATGTGTATACACATACATACGCAAACTCCTGTAGTTATCCAGTACTCAATCCTTGAAGAATCTTTTAACTAGCTTTCGGCGTTTCTATTTACTACTGCGTGCAAAACTGTGCCTGAGTACACGTCAAGCCACATATATATATATTCATTCCTATACGCGAAGCGCGCATACATACATACGTACGTACGTACACACATACCTACCTAGATGCATACATGTGTACATAAGTTGCCATAAGAAGAGACTGCTGGCAATGGCAACATCCTGTGCTCTCAACATTAAGGAGGCTCAGAAACTTCGAAGGGACACCGGCTGCCAGCAACATTTGCAGAACTGATGGAAGGCTCAATCTGTGACTTACCGGTCATTCTAAACATAACAGCCCTTGCTAGCTGGCTCCATTGGTGGAAGCGGACATGATGATCATCATATTCGCTCTTAGGCCTCTCCACAAACCTTACCTGCCATGAAGCTGGGTGGACCTCAACCTCTGGATTTGTGACTGCCCGACTGTGAAGGATGTCAAGAAACGGAACAGCATGATGAAGTCTGCTTTGCAGCCAACATCTTCTGAGAGCTCGGCCTAGGCGCAAGGGCTGCTTCCAGTGAAGTCTGCTTTGGCTGCACAGAAGCCAAATCCAGCTCGGGACGTGCGTGACTTTCCCAGCAAGCTATTTCGGGAGCCAGACCGTTGTAAATGTGATCTTCGGTCAAGACCTGCTCGGTTTCCTGCTCGTTTGACTTCGCCGGCTGCAAGGAGATGTGCGCGTAGTCGCCATTCGCCTCTGCGTCCGAGTCGTCGGCTTCGTGCTGGGAAATCAGCATGTAGTCTCCAAGACCAACCTTACGAAGTGCCGTCTGAGCGTGCGTGGATGTAAGAATCAGCTTGAAGGAGGCTAGCACCCCAAGCAAGTTCGTAAGCAGCGAGTAAAGAACATACTGGTTCATGTCTGCCGAAACGGTACGGTCAAACAGTCCAAGGAATGCTATCGATAACTGCGCAATGTCCTCTGAAAAAACTTGGATCAGGCGGTAGCGCCATAGGACTTCGTCCGTCACCGGAAACATGGCAACTGCAAATACAACGGCTGCAGAAGGAACGCAGGTGAGAGCCCAGATTATCTGGCACCAGGGCTGCACACGACCAAGCATAGCCAACAGTGCTGCCAAGTCTGTATAGAGGTCTAGCACTTGTGTTCCAAGCCAGATGTGCACAGAAGTGACCTTTTTGTCGAAGAGCTCAAAGATGACTGTGTCATGGGGCTTCCATTTCGCAAGCAAGGCATCATGCAAACCCTTCAGGACAAGGAGCATGTATGGAGGCCACATGTACGCGTTCGAGCCAACCACAGCACCCGATGGAAGTGTGAGGCAGAAGAGCAAGGAATCCTCCACGTCGCCGATTTTCAACTTGCACAAGACAGGAAAGATGACAGCAAACGCAGTCAAACACATGACTGCCGGTGCAAGTAGCAGAACGGCCATCATGGCAAGATGGAATGCAAGAACGAACGGGGCTGCAATCAGCCACAACAAGATTGACAGGCCGCACCAGTAGCCGCATTCGCTTGGAGGTCCCTGCATAAAACTCTGCATTGAGGCATCGACCTTTTGAAAATAGTATGTGGCGAAACAACAAGAAGCGCTGAACGATACCACCAAGGCTGGCCAACAGTGCTGCCAAACGTAGTGAAGAACCTCCAAAAACGAGGGACCACTTGCGGCACGCTCTTGGCATGACGAGCCATGATGGATCGCTGACGTATTCATCAAGCAGTCTAGGAATTTAGCGGAATGATACCTAACTCACCCTACACCGCGATTCCATGCCATCTACGACTGCTCCTTCTCCTTCTCCTCCCACTACTACCCCTCCTGCACTTACACCTACACTTGTAGAAGTACGACGACTACAGTACTACTGTGACTGCTATCAAGGCAAGGCCGCCTGTTTCTATTCCTACTGCCATAAGTCTTGCAACTGTGACTGCATTGTTGTTCCCAAAGCTTTCCTGCTATGGCACTGCGTCTACTGTTGCGATTGAAACTGTTTATACTTCTACTGCTACGCAGACAAGCGCTGACTACTGTATGTTGTGCTCTTCTGAGACGGACTATTAGTCTTGTCGTTACTCTTGCAGTGATTTTCAATCCGTACAAGTTTGAGTAGCACAACCTCACATAGCTGACGCATGCTGACGCAACATGTTACCGCTTCTGCTGGCTGTTTGGTCTTTGTCATAACAGCAACACCATGGCGGCTAGCACTTCCGCTCCTGCAAGCATCGTAAAGAGACCGGACCATTAACGTGTCCTGTTGTTTGCAGGGCTGGTTCTGCGCATTCGTCGCGACCACACTGCGGTTTGACGGCTAACCGTTGCTGTCCGCCAGCTGGGTCTGGCACAGCCTTGGGGAGCTGGCAACCACTGTGGCTGTTGGGTTGATGGTCGAGGGTGTACTGTGAAACAAACAACTGCTACAACCAAGATCTCCCTCAGTCGCACAGTGTCACCCGTCTCAGCGGCTCCCAACTTGGGAGACTCTGCTTCCACGACACCGCAGCGAAGGCCAGAAGCCGAAACCCAACCCTGAACCATATACCAAGCCTGACACACCTGGCTGGAAACACGCCAGGTCTTCGCTGACAAAACGTCGGTTGTAGACAAAGCGCTT